TTACTCACATTCTAGGGTGCAAGTATTCATCCAAAGAGAGGGGTTTAGGGCCTCCGAACCAGTCGATCAGGAATATATCTTCAATTTCCAGCTTGAATACCTGAAAGTTGTGGTTTTTGGGCCACTCTGCACCCAGAAAGGATGAAGTTGTGGCAAAAAAACAAAAAAAGAAGAAATGAGATCATTTATCCTGTGCAAAGCTCTTGTATAGGAATTGTCAGTTATCAGCTTCAAAAACCTAACAGCAATCTAGTCACTAAATGGGCAGCTTTCTTAAAAGATTCTTATCAATTACCTTTCATCTCAGCATGCTTTGAGAATAGTGCCTGCTTCGCAAAGTTTGCTTCTTTCGAGTTCCCATCAACCAGCGTCAGCTGCAAAAAGAGAGAAGCAAAAGTTACATGAACAGACTGTGATTACTAGAGCTTTCATATTTAGTAAAAGGAATTGTATATATATTGAATCATAATAGTGAAAGAACAACGTGACAGACCAATGGACAATGACATGATCTTGTTTGGATGATAGACAAGCCAATTTTTTGTTTTTCAATTCTTTCAAGTTTCAAGAGTTGTAAATTAGTTGATTTCGGCAATTTATTTCGCTAATTTCTAATTTGAGCTAGGAAAATTAATTCTGTCAAAAATAAAAGTTAAAAATAAAAAACTATTGATCATCAATGTCAAAGATAGACTAGAAGCTAACAAATCAGAAAGAACAAGAAAGACAAGCATGCATACAAGTCTGGATCTCCCACTATCAAGAGAGGTCGTAAGGAAAACTGGAAACAATTACACGACATATACATTGCAACCATGGCCTCTAGGAAGCAGCAGTTTACTCCTTTATATGGTCAGATAAGAACGTAGTCCCCAACAACTATCGAACATAAAAAGAACCTGAAAATTGAACATATACATAAATGTAGATTGAAACTCAAAATGTGCTCCATGTAAAACCAAGAGCTGCAGATTTCCTATCCAAACAATCTGAGACATATATTAAAACAAAGACACAAATATTTAACAACTAAGTGCGTCTATTTGTAAACGTGTAGCCTCTAGTCGATGTGTCAAGGTAAACGATCCTAGCATGAATACTAACCACTTAAAGAAAGGAAGAACGAACAAAAGCTCCTCAACTTTTACATCAATGCAATCTCTATCCGGATGGTCATAATTCACAACCAAGTAACTCGTTATTATTCGAATCCAACTGAAAGTAGTAGTATATGCCCCACAAGATGAATATTCCCTGGCATTTGTGTGTGAAGCAGTGAAGCCTATTTGTTAGTGCCACTTGCCTTACAAACAACTCTAGTCTGTACATACAGCAGAAGCTAATGGAAGTGTATTCTTTTTATTGATTCAGAGCATGTATGCCACGGTAGAACGAGATATCTATTATAAAACTGCATAGGGCCAATTTCTAATCTTCTATGATGGTTTGATGTCCAAAACAAGTCTTCTATGAAGGTTTTGATGTCCAAAACAAGTTCTACTCTAGAACAATCTCTGTTTTCTAAGTTTGCTTATCCTTTTCAAATTCAGCATCAAGTCAAAATAAGCATCATCTTCATGTGGACACAGAAAAGAAAATTACACTCTAAACCATTAATTAAAGGTCAACACTGATCATTCAGTCTGTACTCTAATTAAACACCAACACTGATCATTCGGTTTGCTCTTACACCAGATTCGTTACATACCTTTCCAGTGAGTGTAAGCTTTGAGCATACAGGGTTCTCAGGATCTATCTTCCCACAAGATCCAAGTGGAAACTCGCTAAGAGTAAGTGAAGCCCTTGCATCCTTCAGTGCATTTCTTGCAGTGGGATCAAGAGTTGTCAAATAGAAATAAGGAATACCACGACCATCACCAGGCCATCCATCACTAAACGAATCTACATTTCTGCATTTAGGAGCACTAGCATATTGTCAGAAACACTACACCAACCATCATTCAGTCCAGAGCTCAAGGACTCAGCCGTGTCAACTCGGACTCGGCCGAGTTACTTGAGGACTCGCACTAGGCTTATGGCCGAGATTCCATGTACCCCTAGGCTACATGGGCAAGGTAAACTGTACTTGGGTAAGTACTGTTTAGACTCAACCAAGTACAGCAGAACTCCAGTAAATAAGCCCGAGTTCTAATGTACTCAGGTGAGTATAATACTTGCCTGAGTACTGTTCTGCTTTTCTACAATAAAAAGGGGAGCAACCGCCCCTAATTTCATTTCTCTCTCTAAAATTGGGGGGCACCGCCCCCTTTCATCTTTCTTCCTCTCTCATGTACGATGTACCAGGTATTCTCTCTCTACCTCAAGTACCAGGTACTCTCTCTCTCTCTCTGAGGGGTGATTTCCATCCCCTTTTTCATTTCTCTCCCTCTCTCTCTCTAAAAGGGGGTAAAAATCTGCCCCCTTTTTCATCTCTCTATAAAGGGGGCAGAAATTTTTCATATCTCCCTCTCTAAAAGGGAATGGAGATCCACTCCCTGTTTCCAATTCTCTCTCCTCCAAGAGAAGAGAGAGAGAGAGAGAGAGAGATGGACAAGAGAGAGCCTCAGAAAGATGCCTGAGAGAGAGATTCCTGTGGAGAGAGAAAGAGGTATTCATGTGGTAGAGCAAGATACCTATGAAATCCTGCAAGAGAAAGAGACATGCCTGTGGAGGGTAGAGAGAGAGAGAGAACTCCCTGTGAGTGAGATAGATAAAGGAGATCCCAGTGACAGCCTGTGAGAGACAGAGTGAGAGAGATGCCTGTGGGAGAGAGATCCATGTAAGAAAGAGAGAAGAGAGAGGTGCCTGTGAGATAGAGAGAGAGAGAGATGCATGTGAGAGAGAGAGAGACAAGGTGAAAGCCCTCTCTCTTCCTTTGGCCATGTGCCCAAAGCCCTCTC